CCTCGCTATAACAAGTGCCTTACTAGTAGTAACAAAGAAGCTATTAGAATTAAATTAACTTGGTAACTTTGGTCCGCTCCCACAGGAATGGAAGCGAAGCGATGGTCCTTCTTTATGTCAGAGTTTTGGCCGCATTCTAACGAGCCGGCAGCGCGATATCGGGGGCTAGGGAAGTAACACTCGGTGTGTGCCTGTGCTTTTGCTGGACAATTGTTTGACGAAAGAACCTCAGAAGTTTAATCGACATGATGGCATGTGAGGCAACTGCAGCCCTTTGCCTCGGCTGCAAAGAAGGTACTCGGTGAAAGGGTAGGACTCCGCGAGCCAAAGAGATCTTAGTCCTTCGGGTGCTCATGTCCTCGGCCACCTGCGCCTTGAGAAGTCAAATGGGTCAAATGGACAAGACACCATTGTTTGGATTAGGAATTTCCATTGCATGCATGGTGGTATCGGCCATCGTGGTCAAGCAATACTTTAGCAAGATGCCCACAGGATGCGCATTTGTAACACAGCCTGGGCTAGTTGGACTTCTGCTGGGAGCATTGCCAGAAATGTGGAAATATATTTTGAGGTACGAGGCGCATAGTGGGCTTGCAGAGTACCATGAACAAGAGGGAGACACACTCTATTTCGACTTTGGTCTCCTGCGATACTTCATGCCAGCCGTCGTGATCACGCGTGATCCTCGCAATGTGAAATATATGCTGAAAACAAAGTTCGACAGCTTTGTCAAGGGGGTGACCTTCCACACCATTGGGCTTGACCTTTTGGGAGATGGCATTTTCAATGTCGATGGGGACCTGTGGTTCAAACAGCGCAAGACAGCATCCCAGATGTTTACAGCCAATCGCTTCAAGCAGCATATTTGGAAAGTAGTGAGGAAGAATTGTGACAAGGTGATTTCTCTGTTGAGGGCGAGCCAGGAGCCCACTGTTGACATATTCAATGTGCTAAATCGCTTCACACTCGACTCAATTGGTGAAATCGGCTTCGGAACCGACATTGGCTCTTTGGAGAACCCCGAATCGCCATTCTTGGGTTCTTTCGATGCAGCACAGAGGCTCATGTTCATTCGCTTCGTGCTTCCTTGTTGGCGTTTCTTGTATGCAAGGCAGTCATTGTCCTTTTTGTTCGTTACCCGAGGGGCAACCCCAAACCTTGGTCGCAGATACTCCAGAAGAATTGTGGGACACCGTTATGTGGTTGCGCGGACTGTAGAGTTTTCTTTCACAATCTGCGCCCTTCTACCTACCTACCTATTTATCTATCCTGTCCTACCCTATCCTATCCCACTCCAACCCGACCCCCCCCCACCCCACCCGATCCGATCCTATCTTATCTACTTGTTTCTTGTCTACCTATGCACGGGACTCTGAAACGGTTGGCCGTCTTCACGGCCATATTCACCATGTCTGAGGACTTTTGAGGTTCTTGGGCCTCGGGCCAGAAAGACACAGCCGCCATCACATGCAGAAGCTTCGAGAGTACAGTCGTCAGATTGTTGTCCGACTCTCTTCTTCTCTTGACACGCCCGCTGGAGACAGCTTTGTGGGGCTTTTTATGAAAAGCGGATCAAACTACAGCGTGGAATTTTTGGTCGATCTGGTGTTGAACTTTATCATCGCAGGACCGGCACACAATTGAAGTGATGGTAGATCAAAGATGGAATTGTAAGTAAGCATCAAGAATAGTAGACAAAATAGAAGCAGCGGAGGGAGGAAAGAACATTTTTGAAACCAGGCCTAAACTCTAAATCAGCAAAATCAGCATTGGCCAATGCAAACTTGAATCCATGCAGGGACGTCAACCCTTTTGTGGTAGATGATCAGTAACGCATAGTAACCTGGCCTTCCCCACATATTGATAGATGCTACGGCACTCGTCACTGGGTCGTTTGGATCAACAGATCGCGTCCTCGCGGGACATGGAGATTTCTGCCAGCCCAGCCCAGCCAGCCACAAAACAGCGACGGCGGCGAAGTCTTGTAACATCTTGTAACATCGTTTCATGTATAATATAGTTTCAAGGCATGTGCTACCGCACCTTCCCAACAACAAACTTGCTGATTTCGTCGCAGGACGGGACACAACTGCACAAGCAATGTCTTGGTGTTTATTCTTAATCATGCAGCACCCAGAGGTTGAGGAGCGGATCCTTCAGGAAGTCCAGTCGGTTTTTGGAGATCAACCGATCACCTATGATCAGCTGTTCCAGCTCACCTACACAGAAGCCGTACTTCGAGAATCCTTGCGCTTGTACCCCTCAGTCCCAATGGACCCGAAGTGCCCCAGCGAACCTGAAACTCTTCCAGATGGGACCTTTGTGCCAAGGGGCACCAGTGTCTTCTACAACTCCTATGCCATGGGGCGCTCAACCAACATTTGGGGAGCAGATGCTTTGGAATTTCGGCCGGATAGGTGGTTGAATGCAGAGCCCAAAGACCCCTACGAATATCCAGTGTTTCATGCAGGCCCTCGTGAGTGCTTAGGAAAACGCTTGGCAATGGTAGAGATGAAAACAGTGGTGGCATCACTCATCAAGCATGTCAAGCTTCGGTTGGCTGTTCCTGTGGATGCTGTGTTGCCAGACACTGCTGCAACTTTGGGAATGTCATCTGGACTGAGATGTTATGTGGAAATGCGCTAGGCTCGCCACCAGAAAACCGATACTCGTGCAAGCTTTTCTTCGGCTGCTTGTGCTAGGTTCGCACAGTAATTTGACATTTCTTTTTGATGCAAACTCGTTGTCCGCGGTGAGTGTTTGAATCCTACATCATTTGGCAACATCCTTCCAAGCCACGACGTGCTTCGAGCCACGTGACAGGCCAGCGCAGGAAAAGAACTGAGCAACATGGAAACCGATCTACTGTGACGTAGGATCCTTCTTCTATGGAGTTGTGTAAGGTTTGTCATGATCAATGATCTATCCACTGAGTTGCGGCGCCTCCGGGCTTTGCGGCAGAGTTGCACTGATAGTCCTCCTAATCAGCCCATCCTGCCAAATCAGGAAGTGCGGATGCCTTTGCGTAAATGGACTTTGCTCCTTGGAGAGTTCCAGAAAGGTCGATGTCGGTTCCCAGTTGCTTTGCATTATCAGTGAATTATCAGTGATCAGATTGTCGGGGCGATTTGTTGAGGGAGCCAGGGGGCACATGGCCAAACACACTTGAACACCTACTCAATTCCAAAAAACCTTCAGCTGTGTCCACAGGACCTGAGAAAGCTTCTTGGGCCGGTCACAGAACCTCTTTGTCTCAGCTTATCTTGCTTTCGCTCAGGCCCGCGATGCACTGGCTACCGTCTTTGAAAGAAAGCCCTGCTTTTGCGGGGAGATGTCTCACCGAAAGGGAGAGAGCCTCGATGAGAACGTCGTCTGCACGCTGACGAACGGCCTCGAACGTCAAACGTCAAACGTTGGCTCAACCGCAACATTGGCTTGTTCGTCCCTCTAAGGGCAGTTGCACACGAAGCCACATGACGCTGAAAGGCTGTTGTCTATACAGATGTGTTTGCTTCAATGACATGTAGCTCACCTAGTGAAGTACGGTTTGGCCATGTTTATGAGATGACTAGAAGGGCAGAAGGAAGAGGCGCTGGCCAATTAGACAGACACATGACGTATATAACATAACTTGGCAAGAACGCTCCGCCGCATGCCATCAGCATGGCACACTGGGAGGTGACGGCAGGCTTCCTCATGTGATTTGCATTTTATTGGTCCAATGGGCAGGTGGTGGGTGGTGCTGGCAAAGGCGGCATCTTGGTGCGCAAGGGGGTGGAACTCACGTGCTGCCGCCCAGCTTGAGAAGCCTTGTGGCTACTGCTACCAGCTACTTGAGGGAGTGTAAGGATGTGTAGTAGGACGTGTAGTATGATGTGTAAGGAATGAAGACGGCCAGCGGGTCATGGCGGGTCATTCGGGTAGCGAGTGATGATTGTTTGCCGACGGCGCCAGGTCTGAAGCCTTGGACGAGCGCCTCAGCACTGGCGCTGTGCTCGAAGAAGTCGCTTTGCGTGGTGACCGTTTGCACTTTAGGAGCGGGCGATACCTCAGCACGGGCGTAGTGGGGGGGGTGGCTAGTGAAAATTGAGGAGCGTAGCAGTGTTTGATACAAGCATAGAGGTGAGAGGAAGAGGGAGCAAGGGAAGTGGATCATGAGATCAAAAATGCATTGAGATTACGGAGTCAGTGTCGCAGAGAGAGAGAGAGAGCGAGATGGCGCTCATTGCTTTGGTGCATTTTGGTCTGCAGCAGCAGCTGCGGCTCAAACCTCGAGCAATATCAGCTTCAGCGAGCTTTGCATTAAGATGCATTAACCAATATTACATAGGTTATTGAAGTCCCTTTCCTTGCATTTGGGCATATTTGGGCTGTGGACGTTCTGGCCCGTTTGGGTCACTGCTGGAGCCGCGAGCTCGTTGACTTCAAGTGGGGTGCCATGGCTTTGTCCCAGGCCATTCCTGACAGATCTGGGGCAATCCGTGACCGGCATTTGATCATTGATGTCCAAAAATGCTGCAGCAAGTCTGGTTTGAACAAAACAAGGGAGATCGAGGTCTTCAATTCGAAGTTTAGGATAGTTCGCTCAAATTCCCGAGCACACGCATTTGGTAAGCACCTATTGTGGTCTGACACTGTTCGTGCATCGTGATGACATCGCAGAGGAATGCCACGACATCATATTAAAACCTCTATTGATAAAATCAGCCAAGGTTTGTGTTTTAATGATTTTAATGGACTCCCTATACATGCGTCATGGGGTTCCAAGAGTATTGGTTTTGCATCGCAAGTCCTGGAGGCTGCACGTTTGACCATCGCGTTGGAGCTCAAGCAGCGCTTGCCACGGCTGATTTTTGCGGCCGTGGATGCGTTTCCATTGGCTGATGGGGGGAAGGAGACGGGACTCCATTGAAACAACATGAAGAGACACCAAACTCGTCCGATTCATTGGGACTCGGTCTCCACCCGCTAGGAAGGCGGAGTGGCAGTGATCGCCGTGCGGAGTCTCCCTCCTGATGAGCGTTTGGACAGCTCTGTTGCAGCCAGCTTGGAGGAGCGGAGCATGGCGGAGGAGCTTGGTCACCAAGGGTCCAAGATTGGCCAATATGTGTATTGGACTAGTAACAACGGCATCGCTACTATACTAGTAGCATTCTTACTACATCTTACTACTAGAAACATTGTATTTGCTTGATTCATTGAGAGCCTTTAAACTTTATATATCTTTACATGCCTTTAGTTTTACTAGTGTACACATATATGATATATGATCATATTTATGCCGTTAGTTATTTCCCTTCAGAGCTGGCACCACCATTTGTTTGATAGAAGTCAGGACGCCAGGGCCGCTTCCAAGCTAAAGGGAAATGGTGAACTTCATGTGCCCCATGCCAGAGTATTTGAAGGAGCTTGCTGGTGGCAGTCACCGTCCTCCAGTCCAACTTAAGGCAGAAAACCCGAGTGTTGCCAAAAGGCTGATGGCTGACACGTACGGATCAAGCTTTCAAAAAAGCGTCTTGTTGCACACTATTGTTCAACGGTCAACGAGGATCAGTTGAGATCCACTCAGCCATCAGTCATTCTAAGAGTCATAGTCATGAACACGAGCAGGTGATTTCCCTTGAGCAGTGTGCAGGCTCGGCAGATTCACATGCAGATCGCCGAGGCAGCACCATTAGCAAGTTTTTGCCATCGCAGCAGGGCCATCACGAATCCTTGCACACATGTTTACATAAGAGTCGGATGTCTCCATCAATTGTTCAGTAGGTCAGAAATGTCCTGATTGATCGCGGTAGTGTTGTGCTGTGAGGCTGTGAGCTCAAACATGCAGATGGCGGTTGTTTCTCAGTTTCTCACAAACTTGGCCGTGTCTTGTTTTGCTCAGCCGCAAGCCCTCTAAGCACAGGGGCTTGCTCATGGAGGGTCATGCTGGCAAAACCCAAAACAAGAGATGTGCTTCCAGCCAAGCAATATAATTGCAAGAGGAGCTTCCTTTTGATGAAAGCAGGGGCAAGCCCTCAAAATATTTTCTATTCGCCTCCAGCCCACGATGGCGAGCACTGAGAAGAAACGATCTCGGCGCCGGAACAACACGGAGAAAGGCTTCAGGCCGTACCACTCTGTGAGCGTGCCCAAGAGCATGGATCTAGTTCACAGCTACTTGATGCAGAAAGCCAGGGCAGCCAGGGGGTGCCCATCAACATTCCAACCGAGCTACAGCAAATCCCTCAAGTGAGTCTGAATGAATCAGAGCGATGATCTAGATTTCAGCGGTGGAAACACTAGAGTATTTGGGATCAGCTTGCCAGTTGAAGCTGTGCAACAGCTTGTCAAGCTCAGGTTCGCAAGAGGATCGGCCAAAGACCACAGTCATGCTGCGGAACATCCCCAACCGCTATTCACAAGCTCTCCTTCTTGAGGAGATCGACCAAGCCGGATTCGGGGGATGCTAGGCATGAACGTTTGCGAAGAGTTCCTAGCGCGCGCAGTGCATGCGAGTTTGTCCAGAAGGTCGCATGTTCTGGCAAAAGCTGTTGAACTGAGATGATCTAAGGCAGCTATGACTTCTTTTACCTCCCCATGGATACTCAGAACCGGACCAACGTAGGCTACGCTTTCATCAATTTCATCACATCCCAGGCTGGCTTTTCGGCTGGGCGTTGCAAAAATCAGTTGGGAGATTGAGGGGGCCCTTTTCCGAGGCAAGTGGTTAGGAAGAAAATGGGTGTGTAGCTCAAATAGGCTGTAAGGGAAATAGAAATCCAGTCGACCCATTGGTTCTGGGTCTCCCTATTAAAATGCACACCCAAATCCGAGTGACCAAGGTCCGAGTCATGTAAAATGGTTATGTGCTTCAGCAATGTTCAGCAATCTACATGAGTCATTATATGCATGTATAATCATGTATACGTAGATCTGTCGGTCATGGTGGAAACGCGCTTCGTCTCACAAAGTTACAAGTGCAACAGGTTTTGTGGTCCTGTGGTAGGTTGGCGTAGGCTCACTCGGATTTCGTGCATTGTTCAATCAATCTGTTCCTTTTATTTGCCCACTCCATTCCTCATTTCCGCATGAATGCCTCGACACGTTTCCCCAATGCGTCGAAGTGTGGTGTCTCATTGATATGCAGTCGATACGGTACGAGCGTACGTAAAAGATGTAGGATCCGACAAGAAAGATAAGAAAGCTCGTGATTTTGATGATTCCTGGCCTTACTAGTAGTAACAAGAAGCTACTAGGGGCTCTTGGCATCGGTACTAGGAGCAAGGACGCTACTAGGGGCTCCTGGCCTTTCTACTAGGAACAAGAGTCCGCTACTAGTAGCAAAGGGCATCGCTACTAGTGATATCTAGTGATCCTGATGAGTCAAGACTTGTCTCTTCTTTGTGCGCCAGGACTCGGAGAGGTTTATGGATGAGTTTGCCAATCATCCTTTCAAGCACCATTCGAGCCAGAAGTTAGCCAGAGTGTCCTTTGCTCACGTCCAGGGCTTCATTGAGAATCTTCGGCATTTTTCGAACCGGGCCGTAGCACACTCCAGAAATAGTCAGTACCGACCTATTGTGATTCACAACGGGGTGCGGATGGACATTTCGGATGCGAGTGCCTTGCTTTTCTCGGTTCAAGCCAGTTCCTCAAGCGATGCTCCGGAGACAGCCCCTCAGACCGCTTGCCCTCGCGAGCGGCAGAGGAGCGTGCTGTCCCCGGCGAGCGTGCGGCCTCCCGAGCCGCCACCCGGCTTTTCCCCGGAGACCTTGGGGGCTGTGGCAGAAGACTCCGCGCTTCGTTTTTCGGAAGCCAAGAAAGGCTTCGAGGAAGCTCTCTCCATGCTGCTCTCCTCGTATCCTGGCGCAGCTGCCCCTCCCCAGCCCTGCCAGCCATATCTCCAGCCATATCCCCAGCAACCATACCTGCCGCCTCCATACCCGACGTACCCCCAACCTTCCTACCCCTACCAGCCTCTTCCAATGCAGCACTACCCGACGTGCCAGCGCCAAGAGTCACATGAAGATGACGATCGAACTCAAGGTGTGGACTGTGATGCGCCAACTCAAGAATCTTTTTTAAGCCCAAGGGCCCGCCTCCCTACTCAACCAAGTGAGGGAGAAGTTCGCTTCTAGCTACTTGAGCTACTACACATGGACGCAGGATAGCGCTCGCACTAAACTAATGATTTGGTTCCTAGAGACATGTGATACGCCACTCAAGAATCCACGACATATCTCAAGCTGTTTGTGCTTGCGAGGGGATGCGAGGGGGGACGTGAACGTGCTTTCTTGGCGAATCAGTCGATAGAAGCTTGTGTCAGACTTGTGTGCCACCCAGATCGGTGTTTATTAGAGTGTATCACTAAAGGTTCTCAGACAAGGAAATCCCTTGCAATTAAGCGTTATTCAGAATTTACAGATCGGACTGCGCCAGCCAGCGTCAGTGCGGAAGGCTTTGCCACATCGTATTCTGAAAGCTCACGAAAACTTGGATTATTTGGGTTGTACTGTTTAGTAACTATGACACCTTGCATCATGCTGCTACCATATACTGCCATATACCATCCTGAGTGCAAGAAACTCGTTATTTGCATGTGTGAAATCTTTGTCCCTCAGGTGGTTCTGCACCTGTCTCCCCACGGCGCAACTCTGAGCTATTCTTGGGAAAGTCGCCATTTCCTGCTGACCCCCATGGGCCAAGTGATGCCCATCGACAAATTGAGCTTATGCAAACCCCTCGTACAAATCGAACTCTTTTCATTCACGGACGCTTTTCAGCATGATCTCTTGACACGTGCATTTTTTTGGACAGGAGAAAGGTCTCCTGGGTCATGTACGTTTGCGTTTCACCTGACCAAGAGACCTAAGGATTGCCCAGGAAAGTCACAGCTATGATAGATAGATGTAGTTTTGTCAATCCACTTCTAGATTGGAGGGCATCGCTATTAGGAGCAAGGACGCTACCAGGGGCTCCTGGCCTTACTACTAAGGCTAAGGAACAAGAAGCTACTAGGGGCTCCTGGCATCGCTACTAGGAGCAAGGACGCTTCTAGGTTGGAGGCCATCGCTTTTAGGCTCGAGGCCGCTTCTATCTGATGGAGCTCGCTTTTCTGCGGCGATCCTCGGTGACGTCTTCCTCGTCTTCCTCAGTTCACCATTTTACGGTCTTGTTTCCAATTCTTGGAAATTCTAAGCCTTGTCAGGATGCCAGACCAGGATTTTCTTTTCTTGACCCGACTAATATGATTGTGGAGGATATGCCAGAACAAAATAGAACATATCAAGCCACGGCCTGGTCTGGGCTATCCATTCATGCTGGAAGCCAACATGGGCTTGCCATGCGGTTCTCCGGTGCAAAAATGAATTACATCAAAGTCCTTGGTCTTGAGGGTTGGAAAGCTTTTGGACATGGAATCGCTTATTTTGCACTTTGTTTTGATTCCAGGCAGCTTCTGCACTGGGTTGACAAGTTGAGAGGTAAATGGCCCAATGCAAAATACGAGGTTTTTGGAAATTGTGTAAAGATTGGTTCCAGATGGTTCCAGGCCCTATCTCGTTTGCAGCTAGCCTTTCTCAAATTGAGTCTATGCCTTTAGGGAAGTTCGCCCCCCCACCCAAAGCTTTCACATGTTCCACTTTGTCAGGCACCTTCCTTGGATCTGAAGGTGCCGCCCTCCGCTTGACAAGAACTGGTAGGTTCACCCACCTCAATTCAGTGCTGCTTCTCATGTGGACGGAGTCCCGGAGGTTGCCAATCGCATCAAATTGCAGACAATTTGTTTCCCAAGTGGCCAGGTGAACTGGCATGATGTGGTGGACTACAGTCGTTTGCTGCAGAAAGGCTTGCCATCTGCAGTCGAGGCCCTCCAGCATCAACAGGACTCTGCACAGGTCTTGCACTCGACCCATGAATGGTGGGAGCTCAAAGCAGCCTTGTCCAAGGTACCCTGGTAAATGACAGAGGTTCGACTTGTCACAATGAGACGCAGTGAGCTCCACAGTAGCAGCTTTCAGAATGCATTTAGGCATCAGCTCCAGAGCATGCCGTGGCTGCCAGCAAGCCCTACAAGAAGGCTTGCATTGGGGCCGCAATATCTTTGCTGCACCAACGAGATAAGACACACGCAGGAAAAGGACGGGCACCCACAACCGCAAATGGTCGGTGTTCGGTTCAGCATGTAGTCAGTACTTAGCAGAGTGTTCACGCTGAGGCACTCTGGAATTGTTGGACGTTGTGTGAAACTCGTTGGATACAACCTGCTGCAACGATTGAAGGAGCGGGCTTCCAGGAGGCAACAATGACATCTACCACCATGCAGCCCTTTTCTGAGCAATGCGTAGCGCTCGTGTATTGTTTGCACGTGTTAGGTCAGAGAGCCAAGGGGGCTCCAGCTCATGTGCACAAAAGCGCAAGTGGCAACCTGCCCCAACTGAGGATTGTTCATTTGTTGGCGAGGCGAGTTGCACACGAGAAGGCCTAGGGAAGAAGTGTGCCATGGCTGCGAGCCTCTTGTATACTATACTATACTTTGCCGTACTGAAGGGCACTGGTACCATGATCACTTGGAACGGTGTTGGAATTGGAATTGGCCGTTTGCGGCGGTCCCAGTGTCGAAGTGACTTCTGACGCAGGAGGCTTTGCAGCTGGATGCACTGGCCAAGGGAGAGGAGCTGCATCTGGGCGAAAGTTGAGACTCCTCGACTCACGTGTGACTAGTTGAAACGTGATGCACCACATTGCACTGCAGTAGCCTCATGCAATGACTCCAAAAATCACACTCAGACTGTCTGCATTGTTGCGAAGAAGAGCCTAGATGTTTTGGTTTTCGTGCACACCTGAAGACCACAAGCGGCAACCACACCAGGTCCACCAGCACCTGGAAGCCACTTTTGCAACGTTTGTGCTCCGAGCCTCGGACCAGGTCCGTGGTCTTCGGTCCGGTGTGGTCCCGGTGGTCGTGTCCAACCCTTTGTGGGCTCTTGTGGGTTTCAGCGTCCAACATCACATTGTGAGAGTATTTTGTTCACTTCTTCTTTCCTTGTTTTTGGAGAGGTAGCTGTGAACATAAAGGTCCATCAAAAACGATAAGTCCACAAAGGCCGCTGAAGCTGCAGCACCCCTGCCAAAGCTGGATTGCTTGGATGAATGGTGCCAGCAGCTACGGGAGACAGATTATGTCGCGCCCTGAGCACTTCGCGACCTGAGGAGATGAGTTGAGTAGAGGTGGATTCTGGGATAGGGATGTGGGGAATTTTTGCTTTTTGGATGAGTTAGAAGAGCCTTTGTCTTTTTTTAGCCTTCGGTGTACTTTTATATGTTGCGCATTTTGCTGACAAAAAAAGCAAACACCTGTCAGCCTCACAGAGGCACTCATTGCACGCAGCATGCTGGCTGAGGAGATGTTTAAGCAGGGCTTGCGGGATGTAGAAGGTCAAGACGCGTTGCTCGCGTGGCGAGAGCTCCTTGCCCCAGTTGTGGAGCTAATGTCTCATGATCACAGCTGCGATTGCCCAGATGTAATTGCTGAGGCGATGGGGGGCCGATGGATATGGTGGGCTCTCGGGGGAGAGTGCAGCGAGCACGAGCTCCACGCTTGCTAAGGAGTGACTAACAGTGACCAACAGACCATTTGCCACCACATGTCCCGGCCTCTCGATACTCCCTTCGTGTGCAAAAAAACGATTTGTGCTGTCCCCGGATTTTTTTGCCAGGTGCTGAGTCCATTCGCTGTTGTTGGGCACTGAAAACGACCGAACTACATGCCCACCGTTTTGTTCTGGACCTCCAGTTGCACGTGGTGCGCCCGCTGTGTGAGGAGTCCTCAGACGCGATGAGACATGTAGACGCTCGCAGGCATGAGGTCGCCCAAGAAATGGTCGCCCAGTTGTGCGAGTATGGTATTATGGTGCTTGTTGGTATTTTGGGGAGCGCTTCCCCAAAAAGTCAGGAAAGCCTTATTCCAGCTGGTTCTGAGTTGACATTCTTGGCCCAGACGGGCGCCTTGCCCGCAGGAAGGAAGGAAGTTAAGTGAAGTCATAAAAGCCTACATTGTCCTTGGCCAAAGAACGTCTGGCCTCCAGTAAATTTGAATGCATGTGTCTTCAGTTTTTGTTTATCAAGCCCTGAAGTGTATGCGTGCCAAGTTTGACCCTGGTAGAGGTTCTTGCTTCTGTAGCAGCTCAGCTAAGGCAGTTTCATGTACGACTTGCAAGTGGAAACCAGCGATATGGATTTCTCGCTGATTTACCAGGCTTTGCCTGACAGCTTGCTCCTTTGAAGAAGTGTTGGGACTCCACCAGCTCGCCATGTTACCGATTACAGTGGCCAGCATTGCCCTTCAACAATCCAGCCGTTATGTCCCTGCCCTGCTAAGGCTGAGCTTAAAGCCGCCCAGAGAAGAATTTTCGCAGCATGTGCACCAGGTCAGGGAAGAAGGATCAATGACCATTGAATGAAGCAGTGGAGCGTGTTCTTGCTTGATAATTATTACTGTAACCGTTGGAAATGCAAAGTAGTCAGGCTGAACTCGCAGAGGCCCAGCGTGTGGTGTAGCATTAAAGAAGCTTAATAAACGATTTGCAGATGACAGTTGCGCTGCTGCCCTTTGACATCAACAGCATACAATGACGAACCTGATTCTCACAAGAAGAATTCGGCCACAAAGGAGGCCGAATGCAATGGAGTGGAAGCCTGTGTCGATCAGTTGCGGAAGCTTAGGAAGTGTAGAAATCATGTGTGAGCTGAGCCGAAGAGCGTGTGACGTGGTCTGGAAGGAAGGCAGGGGAGTGCAAAGCCCTTTGTGGCTGTTCAGGACGTGGAAGATGCGCAAGAGGTGATGGACGGTTGGACCAACATGTGAATGTGCATGTTTATGCTGCCCTGGCTGAGCGCAAATTACATTGTTGATGTGTTTGGCAGTGAGGTTGTTGGAACGTTTTTTCTTTCCAACTCCAATCATTGGAGGCTTTGCTTTGAGAGCAGAATAGCCCGTGCCGTGGACTGCACAGATAGATCATTCAGTGAGAATTGTTTGAGGATCACCTTGGAGGCTGGCCCGCAAGACCGCAATGGAAAGGGCTTTGCTGAAGCTGATCGATCGCAACTTCCTCATGAGCCATAGATGAGCCACAGAACGAGCAATCAGTCGGGAGAACGCATGAAACAATGCTGCGCACTCTGGCGGCAAAGAGCGAGATCCCAGCGCAACAGGACCTATTCGCCACAGTCCCACCGCTCAACTCGAACGGCCACATGCGAAAGACATCTGAGATCAAGTGAACACATCGGTCGGAGAAGGTGATCAAAGGATTCCAAAGCGGCAACCGGTCGGTCCCCATAAGGAGGTTGCAGATAGGGCTTGATCCAACTGCTGTTTTACAGCTGAATGCCAAGTCCCAGATGCAAGTATGGTACCACCCAAACTTGAGGATGTGGGAGCGATAGTGGGAGCGATGTTGAAACTTGCTCCAGGGTGCTGGTTGCTGCCTGTGTTTGTGTATGTTTGTGTGGACTGTATGTTCTTAGGCTGTGCCCGCTGGCTTTTTTGTCGTTCTTGCGGCAGCGCAGGAAGGCTTTTCAATCGGTGATGTGACTTCGGCAGAAAGTATCAATCATGATTCAATAAACATCATCCAGAACTGGGTAGAGAGTTGTTGCCATTGCTCCATCGCAACCATCAGCCGTCAGCTCAAACTCAGCCCCGGTACCCCTTGTCCCAATGCACTTCTTTCGTTATGAGACGGCGTGTGCATCAGTCCCTGCCTGGTCAGCAGGAAGTCTTTGAGAGACGAGGGATCAAATGTGAGGCCCAATGGCGTGGGCAAACTTCGTGCTGCGTTCGTACTGCGTGGGCACTTTTTGTGGCTCTTAGTGACTTGAAACAAAACAAATTTAGCATATATAGACCACTTCAACCAGGGGCCACCCCCTGCCAGGTTGATGCCCATGGCGATTTGGAGTTCGAGGAGGAAGAATATCAGGAGTACATCAAAAAGGATTTGGCAGTGAAGAAAGCTGTGGACAGGCTTAATGCCCAGGCAGCTGTTACATATGCTGACACTGCAACCTATGTGGGCGTGCCCTTGAATGTATATTTGGACTATATCCAGGCAGGGCTTTCACCAAAACATGTTCTGCAGATGTTTGAATTGTTTTGGATAATTGAGCGGAGCCCTGATAAGCTGCCACCATTATGCAAACCTTGCCTTGTTCGGAGGCTGAGGTAGACACAGAGCGCAGCTTTCTTGAACTGCCCTGGACAATATGCCTTGTTGCCTCCTTCACGATCCTTGTGCTGGGTATTTTGCAGCGTGATGTTTTCTTCGGTGTCCAGAATGCGATCGAGAACAGCGTGGTTGGAAGTGCAAGGAAAGGGGGGCAAGATGATCCATTGTTCAAAGTAACAGACAGGGGGGCATGGCCAATTGATTGGGCACAATTGCAGACAGATTCCGTAGAACGATAGATGGCATTATATAGGTGCTGTATGCTTAGGGGCATAGGCGCAGTGAAGAGTTCCACTGCATTGCAGGTTTGGATGGAGCGGCGAGTTTGGCCACAAAGATGTCTATGAGGTAGATTCAATCTCACAATTCTGGTCATGGATGCGGTTGGGTTTGCTTCCACTAGTGGTCCAACCGACTTGGATCTACAGTGAGGGAGTACCTCCAGCCATGGAGTCGGACTTCGGGAACTTTCAGGTGACAGGCCGCCCAGAGCGTTGGCTCTTCCAGGGCTATCGATCACCCTCACCAGTTCAGAATGACTTTTTGATCTACTCCAAGCTTGTTGGAGGCATACGCATGCGGCAGGTTGTCGGTGAGGTGGAAGCTTGCACCGGCCCCTCATCAATGGACCCAGACATTTTGGACAATTGGCTGGGCAAGCCTTGTGCTCCAAGCTCCTTCGCGGTCTTGGTCCCCCAAGCCCCGGATGCAGAAGACTTTCTCAACTTTGCGAAAACAGAATTTTTGTTTCCAGATTTGGACAACTTCACAAGCCTTCAGCAAGCACTTCTGGACATGGAAGATGGCTGCAACGCTCATGTGGGAAACCTGCAGAACTGTCGCTGTGAGTGGTGCAAAGGGCAAGTTCCAAGACAGCCATGGCTTGACGAGCTGGCAAAGAGAGTAGAGGTCAGCATGGTCTTCTACAATGCGCAACATGGAGTTTTGACTTAGAATTGGGTGGAAGATGGCAAGCCCGGCCTTGAATCAGGTATGAGAGGGTTCATCTTGGTATGAGCAGCTAAGGAATCTATACCTATGTGTCGGTCAATTTCTTCCTGAATCGTGGTGGCAATATCTACAAGCTACTTCATTTAATGTCTTCGCCAGCGCAGCCCTTAAACATGCCAACTGCTCAGCTGGTCCCAATTATTTTCTGTGGCGCGCTGTGGGGCGGAGGCCTTTTGTACATGCTCATAGGAGAGTTCAGGGATATCATTCGCACCGTACGAAGCTCACAGCTTGGCTGCTGCCGAGCAATAGCCCTCGAATACATCGGTTTCTGGAACATGGTAGACTGGGCGGCCATTTTTTCCGGTACTTTGGCAGCCTTCTTCACATTTCGGACTTTACTCTACGTGGAGGTAGCCAATGGCCTACTGGCACAGATGATTGCTGCCAGTCTTTCCCCACAGGACCGAGCAGCATACATATCTATTGCCGATCCTTTCTTTTTTGCGGTCGAGCAGATGAGTGCTGCAAACTCGGTTGGACTCGTGTCCTTGGCCCTCTACCCGTGACTCGAAATCGGTCGAAGTCATTACTTTTGTGTCGTATTGGCAGTATTGGCGTAGAATACATATGATTACAGTATATAATGTTGCGAGTTGGGTCCTTATGGGGAAGGGGCACAACGCAAGCTGTCAGAAACACAGAGTCATAAATACAAAGTATGAATAAAGGTCTAAGGTAGTCCTATTGTCTGAAAGCCCTGAGAGAAGTTAGTTCCACTTGCTTCGCCATACCTACACCATACCCAACGCATGACAGCAATAGTCGTAGCTTTTGCTGCATTTGGGATCTACTCCATTTGAGTCGTCAAGTCTGCGTCGGCAAACATTCCTTCAGCTTGCAATGGCAGTGAGGAATATGTTGACTTTACCTCAGGTTTGTAGGGATGCTGCGGCTCTTCAAATCCTTTGAAGCACAACCACGCTTGGCAATTGTTACTGCTACTCTGAAAACAGCAGCCCCCGACTTCGGGCATTTTATGTTGCCAAGCCGCACTTATCTGCAAAAGTCAACCTTTCCCTCCCTGAACAGATTTGAAAAAAAGGCCTTTTGTGAATGAATTGTGCCAGGTTGGTCATCGCCTGCGTGTTTGCTTGCCTGTTGGTCAGCCACTCAATCCGTGCACTTTGCATTACGAAGCCACAGGTTGAATTTTACACAGCTTGTGGAACAGTGAGTGGGGCCACTCTTCTCTTGCACAATCCTAGGGCTTACTTCATGTCACAGCAGGTGGTGGAGCTGAAATAGATTCATTGCAGAACTGTATTTTCTAATAAATTGGTGAGCCAGGTCACTTTTTCAGATGTTGGCCGAGGTCAGTGGCATTTTATTCCTGGGGCAGGACATGGAAGGCTTCACTACACCCGAACATGCCTTTCGCTCATCGCTTTTGGCGGTCTTGGGCCATTGGGACTGGGAAGTCCTGAACCAAATTGGCCACTTCAAAGCAGCATTTTGGCTTTGGGTCTTCAGCATCGTCCTGTCCCTTATTGCCTTGAATATGCTCTTGGTGGCCAAGCTGCAATGAAAGTCCAGCGCGGAGTCTCCGAAAAACGACCTAACAGGAGCTGACCAGTCTTCAACTGTACTTGGATTGTCTTGGGTGAGGCCATCATTCTAGACGCTTACTCCTATGAGAAGGAGAAGGCCTCAGAAGACAAGTCGCTATTGCAGCAGACCTCAGAAGTCTGGCGACGCCGCTCTCAGCGGCGCCGCGGAGAGAGGGTGAACCTTTCGCAGATCTACGAAGCATTCAAGAAGAAGTACAAGAACAACCTGAGCCATGGCATGTCATGGCAAGCCATTTCATATTGCATCCCAAATCATTAAGCTCAAAACATCTCAAATCCCAAGGTCTTCTCCCAGAACACCGGCCACTAGCCAATAGTAGAGACATGGGTTAAAGGTCGCACTGCGAGAGAGGGCTCAGGCAGACTGACAAGTGACGGGTGTATCCAAACACCAGTACCACCCACAAGAGGATGCCGCCAGCATGCCCTGGGTTCAAGCAGGGCTGGGTTCCCATTTTGCCCCATGTGGCATCCAAGGGCGAGTGGTTGATTTACGTGTATAGCATGCAGGCGGACTTTCATAGCTGTAGGGCCTTGTGTCAGAACAGTAGGGTTGTGTCAAGACAGAAACAATAACTCTTATAGCGAAACTCCGTGGAGGTGTGGATCAGACTTGAAAGCAGGAACAGGTCAAACGCGCTCAGGAGCAGCATGATGTCGGACCAATCTTTGATCAACCCAGATTCCTTGATGTCCACAGTCCCCCAGATGCCTCGGGAACAAGCGGTGCGGACGCTATCAAAAGCACTGGAGCGGCAAGAGAAGCTGGAGGTTGGCTTCCAAAATGAGGCCGGGTGAGTGCAGCAGTTTCTGACGGTGGGAGGTTTTGATTGTATTATGTTGATTTTCTTGGGGCCTAGAGTTGCGCATCCTAGTTGCGAGAGCCTTTTTGTGCTCGTTACGCGTTCTTTTTCAGTTGCTGGCGCAGTGGGTCAAAGATCGTTGGCATGGCTCCAGGATATGATCCAGCGGGATGTTCAGAAGAATCTGGAAGACTTTCAGTATACCATGAAGGACTTGCCGAGTTGCTGGGTATACTGAACGTCCTGTTTGTGTTGATGTGTGTTGATTAGAGTTGTTGAACAGATCAAAAGGGGTCACATACATCACATACCAGTCTAGTGCAGCCAGATGGGTGACCTTCGTGTGGAGAACGGAATGTGCGTTTCTGGGTGCCAATGTTTGGGATCTTGCGAGGAACGGATCATCGGATAAACACACGGGAGGGCTGAGCACACGGGCGCAAAGGCACCAAACGGTTTCAAATATCCTGGCACTGCGGGAGCCTATGATTGAACGTTTGCAGCTTGTTTGCCCCTCGAAGATCCTCGAAGTTTTTCTCAATTCTTCTAGTAAATATTTGATGTGCTCAGCTGCAGATCAGAGTAGGCAATTTCTGGACGCAGGATGTTGCAGGAGACAACTCCTATACTGCATAGTTGAAGCCAGACCAAGCACATGATTGATGCAAATCCGACAAAGCCAAGAGCTTTAAGATCTATAAGAGACCTTGAAATTTTCCCAGGAACAAAGGTCCATGTACCGCAGCTTGGCGCACTATTTGCATATACTTGGCTCTAGTGGGCCCGGAACTCTTTACACAATACTGCTGTGCTAGAGTTCTTGTTTTGGTTTGACATGGCAGGATATTTGCAGGGATGTCGAAGAAGTTGCGGCGCAACTAGATTATTTTGAGCGTTTGCAAGCCTCGGGGGATGCCAGCTATGACTTCTACTTCGGCAAGGTCAGGGATGTAATTGAGCACATGCTGCGCTGTGACATTGTGGTGTAGCGGGGGAACGTTTCCAGGTATGCAGGGGCAAGTTTTGTAAGATTAGGAAATTGTGTTGTAGCATTTGACCTGTACAAATCTGTCCGCCAATTCAGTCACAGAGCTTCATGAAGGAACAGGCATCTGAGGAGAGGACTTCCAAAGCATGGATCCAAAGAATGGTCACCGAGCTGAGTGGCGACCTTACCACGACATTCCACAATGGCCTTCAGCGATACCGTGACTCTTAGCATAGAAAAATGAACGCCGAAGGTCCAAAGAGGGAAGAAGATTGGATGCTGAGTCAGTAGATGTTTTTATACGCTGTAGACAAGTTGATGCAAGTGCTGACTGGACACATTCTGACAAGCTATGCAGTAGAGAAAGTAATGTTGTCCGAGTACCAACGGCAAGCTTCTAGGTCATAGGTTGTGGCAAGATGTAGCAAGCCTTTGGCTGAACAATTCGCGCTTGCGTGACCTGCGTGACCCTTAGGATTGGCAGGGACGTGTGGAAACCGAGCAAAACGACCTGCATGAGTCAATCACCGACATGCAAAGCTTGGTTCAGCAGCATGCCGGACAAGTAAGGGAGATGATGCACGCAGTCGACTGTTTATTGGAGCCTGGCCATACGGCAGGCCTTTCTCATTTGGAAGGCCAAGGCTAGCACGCTCAGTGTGGAAGTTTGCTTGCAGCTGTGCAAGATGTAGCGCCCATGTTCAATATTTACAGTCAGTAGATATTAGTCCACCAGGAGGATGGCTCAAAAAGTTGAGCGTCTCGTGATGTCTCGTGGATAGTAGATCTGACAGATATTTGCAATGATGTTTGCCAGTTCAAAGCAAACTGGCAGTTTCACCATCCCACCAGCAAAGTCTGTGAGAATGAATCCCCAAGTGATGCGACAGCTCAGAGTCGGGGAATGTGAGGGGAAAGGCATGGCAGAAATTTGAACGCCTGTGAACCGTGAGGTATCAGACATTTCAGCTTGTCATTTCGTGAACTCAGCACCAGCCTTTGGAATCCCATGATCAGGGCTTCGCTTCCAACAAGAAAGGTGCTGTGGAGTACTGCGGGCGCGAGTTGGGATCCTTTATCACCCTGCTCGCCAAAGGCAACCCCAAAAATGCCTCGTGCCAGCACTTTGAAACCTGGAGTCTTGCGCTGCAGTGTTTGGTGTTGGCACAGGTTGCAGTTCTTAGACTAGGGGCTAGCGGCTATCTCGATCTATCCCACTTCCCCTGGTCATACTGGGTGAAAAAATGTTACCGGCTTTGGGCATAGGTCGCGCCCTTATATAAGGTGTTCTTCCCAGTGTGTGGCAACATGTTGCGTCAGGTCGAGCTCCTGTTCACAAGGAAGCCAAACCATCACAGTTGGGCATGGGAAGAGCTCTTAGAAGCACGAGAATGTTTCCTCACCCTCCGCTGTGCATCTTGGCTGGGAGCGCGCGTGGCGGGTGAGGATCTCAATACTTTGGTGTATCAAGGCTTGCTAAGGCAATGCATTTGTCAGCTTCGTAGTTCCAGGCCTTTAGGGGCCAGTGTAACTGGCAGAAGGTGCGTGATATGCTGGCACTTCCAGCACGCTCAAGAGAGATGGTGTTAAAGATCATGGTGCACTTTCTTTCTTGAGAGAGCGCTTGAAAGTCCAGGCAAAGCAGTACATGGGATTCATCTCAGAGCGCTTGTTCCGTGCTCGTGACCTATTGAAAGGAAGCGAAGGCCAAGGGCCAGGGCTTTTGCTTGGGTGTGCCTCTTGAGGAGACGTCCAAAGCAGGTACCACAGCGTGCCAGCCAGGTCTTGTGATGGCAAGATGGGTATATATAACAGTAGCACCGGCCCAACTTCTGCTACTCACATTTACGATTGCCGTTTTCTAGATTCAATGTGCTGGGGATGTTCATCAGACTGCATCAAGCGTCATGGCATACACACACATATATAAGTCATATATATATATATATAATGTTTGTTGTCCATGTGTTAGCTTTTCTCAACCTTTAGTATAGTATAGGACTTTCGGAGCCTATCCATGGAGGCTTTGGAACCCCACTGGCTGCTTTGCAAAAGAAGACAGGTGAGAGTGACGAGTTTGAGCGAGGCAGCGAGTTCTCGAAGTTGCTGCTCGCCAGAAGCTTCAATTTCCAATGACTGAGTTTTGTGAGTGCCTCAAACAGTCTTGCAAGGCAACTGCACTTGAATCCCAGTTCTTGAATGCGAATGCACTTGCCATTGTTTCGTTGCTTGATGCTTTGGCGGCCTTTGTTTGGCAAGTTTTGCCAAGTCCATTCAATCAATTCGGAGAAAATCTAAGCTTATCACTAAACGATCACTTCCTTCATAAACTCTGAATATATAATTGAACTAGATTCATCCCTTGGCACCAACTCACTGAACAAAGCCCTCCATCCAATGAATTGTGGATGAATTCTGCTGGAAGCAGTCATATGCATGAAATGTGACGCTGTGGAGTTTCGGCTTAGTGGGAGGTCGAAGCGTATCCCGTACGGGGCGAGCCATGGAATGTCCAGCAAGGCTGTGGTTGGATGTGCGAATGCTGACCTTCACTTGGCCGAGGGGCATCACGGTGGTTTCATCATTGTAATCACTAGAGGAGATTGCCACAACTGATATTCCACAACTGATATTGCTCTTGTGAGCCTTTATCTAAGTGTGTCTCGCCACAGAGTCCCACTGAGGGCTGTGGTGTGATCCCCAGCGAGGGGCGAGTTTTGCGCGTGCCCTTAAGGGTGAACATTCCGGGATTCATCAGCTTGCACTGAAACTTCATTGACTCGGCGTTTTTGCACAAGAATGCTGATCAAATGCCGCCGGGCCCACCGAATACCACCACAGAATGTCGTGTCACGCTGCTAAGTATTCATAGGCACTCGGCTAAGTATTAACGTTTCGGTTCTTTTCTTCCTCCTGCTGCTCTTCGTTTTCTAGGTCTTCTTTCGTTTCTAAAGGGGTGTAACTGAGGCCTTTTAGTCAAGGGAGCGCCGATTTCGGCTTCTCGGCCAGTGCCTTTGGGCCCGTGCCTATGGCTCGCAAGAGCAGTATTTCAACAACCCCCCCCCCCCCCCCCCCCCCCCCCCCCTTTTCTTTTCTTTCCTTGCCTTTTTCGTTTGCTTGGTCTTTCCTTCAGGCTTGTTAGGTCGGCGCTTAGGCTCGTTTAGTTTAGTCAATGCACGCCCAACCAACACTCCCCGCACACCCCTGCATCTTTTCTTTCTTTGCTTTGACGTTTGTTTGTTCTTTCCTTCAGGCTTGTTAGGTTGGGGTTTAGGCCCGTGTAGTTGACGCACACCTTCCCCCCCTCCCGCAGAGCAAAAAGAGAGTGTGAGTGCGCGGGCTCGGCTTTCTGTGTGTGCCGACTCTTGTCTCTAAGCAACTCTTCATACATGTACAGAGCAGGGGGCCATCCCCTTCACCAGCAGTGGTGGATGGCCACCGAAGAGGCCACTGGTGAGGGCTGTAAACGCACCTGCGATCGCATGTTGGTGACTTAAACATACTTAAACCATATTGTTTCTGACCCAGCCACCTTTCCGTTGTGCACATGGCCGTTGACAGGCTTCAGGCTCCAGCCCTCTAATCCGGCATTTTAATCACTAGAGGGGATTGCCACAACTGACACTGCTCTTGCGAGCCTTTATCTAAGTGTGTGGGGCTTGGTTCCGTCTCAGCAGCCCACAGGCAGGAGCCACAGCCATTGAAATTCAGGAGGAGAGTTGCGGCAGGTAGTTGAGGAGCTCAACGATGAACAGGCTCCATTTGGTGGTCGTGGTCAGATCAAGATGAACGGCTGAAAGTCGTGAAAACGTTGTGGGATAAGAGTTTGGTACGGCTGCCGGGCCGGGCCTGAGAACGGGATGGTCAGGAAACGGAGGTTGAGCCCTGCGGTTCCTGCTGAAGAGTGCTACCAGTCACAAGCGGCGCACGCATTAGCCCATAAAGACTGTGCTTTTGTGTGCTTTTGCTGCTTGCAACTGATGTCCTGCACCTTTGCTCAATGCCCGGTTTTACGCTGCACTCCTTCAACCTGGCAGGGTTTGCGCGCCTTGATTGCTCATATGGCACGAGCTGAGACGTCAAAATTGAATGTGCGTCACAATAATTGCATAGGTGTATAGACAATTTATATTATATTATACACTTGTGTGGGTGTGTGCGTGCTTGATTTTATCCACTGGGCATCCTTCACCTACTGTTCCTGGTGACTTTGTTTAAAACGAGTGGAGTGGCTCAAAATCCAAATATATTGTGAAAATCGGCGTCAAAGTCGCCCCGGTCAGCTCACAAAAGGAGTTAGCAGGAAACAAAAGTGCTTGATGGTGATGCGCCCGCTCAAGAAACATCAGCTGCACTTCGAAGCACGTCGGATCCACTCAAAAATCCGAGTTCACAAGAATAATCCTGGGCCCACTTCAACAACTCAAGAGTAACTAATTACGTCCGGCTTGGCAGTTGGGGGGTCATTGGCCTACAGTTTGCCACATTGAGCACCAATGTAGGTGGTCACTCTCATCAAAGCGAAAAAATTTGACAGGAAAGTGCTGACATGATTAGGTTTTTCATGTTTTTTCCATCCGAGAATGTTCCAAGGCTTTACCATGCGCATCACAAGATGCTGGACTTGGGGCGAATCTTGCGAGGAGGTCGGCAACTACCGCTTTGTCCTGAATGTTGTGGTGAATGTCGTTAGCTCACACTCAAGCCGCTGCTGATGCGGTTGGAAGACTAGTGGCATAAACCATATTTTGATACTTTTCCGAGCTTTACACAACCGCCGTCATGAAGTGGAGATCCAGCAGGCTGCCCAATGGTTGCACTTAGTGGCAAGGAGAGACAGGAAGTGCTTGAACTTCGTTTGCGCAGGCTCCATTCGTCATGCGGCTCCTGAAATGCGTGTGATCAGTTTTGGTTTGCATTTGCTCCTCATGGAAGATTGACAATTTTTTGTGGTGCACTTGCCAGGCCAAGCCGAACAGACGCTCAAGCATTGCTGGAGAAGGCCGAAGCCCAGAGGGCACACCTCGCCGCTCGGCGTCACACCTCCACAGCCCAGACTTGGTCCTGTCGATTGGACGTGACACGAGGTGTGCCACATCACTGCACCCCAGGTGTCCACGCTATGGAACCAACAGTCGGCAGGGGTTCACGTATGTTCAAAGGCAATTGTATTTTTTAACATATCACGAAAGCTAGCGAAGCTAGCTGGAGTTACTCTTGCGATAGCAAGGTTTCTTTCAACCGGGTGCAAATCCTAACCCCTGATTTTTCAGGTCGAAGACCCCCCCCCCCCCACCCCTCCCCTCCCCACCTCCCCCCCTCTCCTCCTCCTTGTCTTCCTCCCATCTTCCCTCCCTCCCTCCTCCCTCTCCGCAAGTTCCACTCCGTCCTGTCGTCGCTCTTTGGCATGCGGTTAGCGTTGCGTATCTTGCGGCCGCACTCGCTCACTCTCACTCTCACTCTCTCACTGTCTCACTGTCTCACTGTCTCTCTCATCTCTCTCATCTCTCTCTCCTCTCTCTCTCTGCAGGAGGATCCGGGCAAAGAGCCACATATAAAGGACTCTTCACCCCTGCCTCCAGAAAGAGCGCCGTGTTTTTTCCTACCTCGCTGCCCTCCACTTTCCCATTCTGGAGCGCTAGCTTTCGCCCCCCCCTTGGCCTCAAGTACTCACATATGCACACCAAAAGCTCAAAAAAGAACACAGCCCTTGGTTTAGCCTACGCAGCCTGAAATGCAAGACTGCAAGGCGTTGTTGTATGTCAATGTTATTTGTGCCCTTATGGTTTGAGGCATGAAGGCAGCCAGTGCCGGGTGGTGGAAGCAATTTCCGGGTGTTGTGTGTGTGTGTGTGGATGTCGGATCGAAATCGCTAAATCGCTGCTCGCTGTGCAAGGCATCCGAGCTCAAGGTAGTTGAAGCTTCCAAAGCTCGGCCTGCAGAAGTTGATGCCAATGCATTGAACAAATGGCTTCGCAGCGTTCGCGTGCGGATGGCTTTGGGCGCCACTCCGTCTTACTCAGCGGGCTGTAGTGCTTCCGCTGATGTCATTTGCAATTGAGTTTGTAGTATACCTTCGGTCAGCCAAATATGATCGACTCGCGGCTTCACATCAGAACCTCTTAGGTGAATCGCGGCGCTATGCCACGGCCATTAGGGTCATTACCTCGAACAAGGCTGGTGCCTAGTGACTGGCCTCATGTGTCTCAGTGTCATTGTCCCCGCAATTGCTCAAACGCGCTTGGCTGCAGATTGGAAGGTCCTGCGAGGAACAGCAAGCCATTAAAGATTTGATCGATGAGATAGCTTTTTCCCAGAAGATCAAAGTCGTGATTGCAGGACGAAACCCCCTTGGGTTGCAAAATGGTGCAACGATCCAGCAAGCACATGCAAGCACAGAAAGTCCCTGCCCAATTTCCTGGACATTCCGGTATTTTTTCGCTCTCAAGCGGCATGTTGGACATGGCTTGGTTGTTTGTTTGATGGAGGATATGGCATCAGCTCGCGCACCATGGGCACAAGTCACTCGAAGTCCGACCATGACATTAAGTGCATTTTCGTTCACCCGAGATGCTCGGTTGCATAAGGATTGTAATAAGAGACCCTGCAGGGACGAAATGGACTCTTTTCCCTCAAGAAACTCTAAGCATTTTGGACCTTTGAGGATGTTTGAGGCACCATCTTGGAAGAGTTTCTTTGGACCTGGAAGACTTGTCATTGTGATCAGTGCGTGAGGAATAAAGTCCTGGGCGAACATGTGTCTCCTGAGGAAGTATGTACTTCGGTTTGCAGTCCCTTGCTCTCTCCTCAGTCTAGCCGAGACATAAACGGCTTGTGAAGCAGCAATGCAGCGATGCATTGTGTTTCACCAGTTTCGATCACCATCAATTGGTGACAGATTCCTACCTACATCAGTGGCATTTGAGTTCTAGACCGTTGTTTCACTGTTTGTTTCTTCCTGCTTCGCCGTCACAACGGGGCGACCCAACGCGTCGCATCCGAGACGACCACCTTCAAGCAGCACTTCCCTGGCGCAGCTGGTGGTTGCGACGTGGAGATCAGCGGCTGGGAAGCGCGACATGCGCTGCAGATGCTGGCAGAAGACAACCCGGCGGTGATTGGCGTTTTGTGGCCTGGCCTTCGATGTTACTTATTGGCCCCCATGTGGCCAAGAGAGTCCAAGATTCATGGGTTTGATTTGGGTTGATATCGAAGCGTGAGGGCGGCATACTAGCCATTCGTTTGCTTGCTACGTGAAGTTGTCGACATGGTGGTACTGTCATGGCTGCCTCAGGTCAACACCATCAGCCTTCGTAGGGGAAGAGTGGAGAGAACGGCTTTTGCAGATTGCAACGAAGTGGACGGACAGGTGCGTCACATTCGATCACCCCTGACTCGAATTAAACACCTACACCCTGACCTGCACGTGGCTTCCATTATTGCTCGATGCTAGAGGGGTGAGTCGCCTTGCTTACAGTAGTTACATGGTGGTGCATGCTCGAGCCGACTCCCATTTTCAAGTCGGCATGCCTGATTGTACGAGTTCCTGGAGAGAACGTGAGAGAACACGATTTGTAATTTGTTACTGTATTTGTTGTTGCTGAAGTTGCTGCCGCAGGGGCAGATTGATGGTCCATTGGTACAACCATGCCCGGCGAAACTTTCAAAGTTACATCAAGTCCAACGACAGTCCATTGCGCAAGCGTTCCTCGACGATTTTCTTCAGCTGCTCCAGTTGTCCCTGTCGAGCTGACTGAGACCAGACATGAAGCAGTCAACTAAGGATATGTTCATGTCCTCAGGCAAGATGGAAGGGTGAAGAGTTGGCAGAAGATCTGGCAGGCTTAGACTAGTAACAAACGGCATTGCTAGTAGCAAGGACGCTACGAACGCAACAAAGGGCATCGCTACGAACGGAGCAAGGACGAAATTAGCAGCTCCTGGCATTACTGCTAGATACTGTAGTAGATCTTGTTCTTTCACAATTTGGTCCGCTCTAACTTGCCAGTTGCGCGGTTGACCAGGCCTTTGCTGAGTGTTGCCTGGCAGCGGCGTGAGAAGGGCTCAAACTTCCCTCCCTTGGACTTGGCGGAGCTATTGCAGCAGGCAGGAGAACAACGACATCCTGAGATTGCCCATATGTTTGATAACTAACGCTCATCATGAAAGTATAGTAGGTATACGTAGGTGTGTATGCGCGCGCGTGCGAGCGAACACATATAAATATATGTATATATATATATGTGTGTGTACACATGCATACAGAAGCCGCCCAACTATTCTTTCTTGAGTAAGACCCTGTTGGCATGTTTGAAGGTGCTCCGTGTGGAGGGTTTGGATAGCAGGGTGGGTGCATATTTGCACCATTTTGATCGTGTGCACATCGTTGGCTACCAGACCTCGTTGCTAGTGCTAGTGGTGCGTGTCAGAGAGCAATCCTGCAGCATTTGGGTGTTCACATTGGCAGGTGACAGACCTGGGAGCTGTTGCTGCAGCAGAAGCAGCAGCGGTCTCTTCTTTGCGCCCTTGATCGCAGAATCAGCCGTCGGATGTTGGTTTTTTAATGTGTGATTCAATACATCACCCGGTGGGTCACGGATCCCTGCGTGATATTCCATGCTTTTGCCCTGAGGATCCACCAAGTGGAGGCACGCGCCACAGCAGAAGTGGGACCATGAACTGGTTTGATCCATGTTTAGCTTGAACCTTTGCCTTGGGATATCTATAGGGAATTTGCCACATCCACATCCACCGCGCTTAGTAACTATTGTGCAACCATTGGCCCATTGACTAAGATCAGTGGTCGCTAAACGGCATGCTGCCTAGCATTCGCTCGCATTGCCGTTTGGAATGCTTGGAGTATGATTCAAGTGGAACATACAAGACAGCTCATCACGAGGCATCCTGCCCTCAGCAGAGGCAAGCTTGCTAAACACAAATTTCAGGCCAAAAACAGGGAAGCATTTTGAATTGCCATTGTACATTCATTGATCTATATATAATGCATATGATGCTATTTGAGAGCCTCAGTCAGAGCTTCACAGTCAAGCACCACACGGAGCTTCACAACAAACACGACAAAGGCACACAGATGCAAAGACACATCCAAGAAAGCTTACGCAAAGACAGGGTCCACTCAAGCTTGAGAGCTTCAGGTGCAGACTCGAAGACAACTGAAACCAAACTGGCTTTCTGACTCTTGCCGTACTCACCCGTAGGGCAAGGGATGCGCAAGAAACACCAGATTCGTTGCGCAAGATGGAGACATGAAACCGAGGCGAGCCTACACAAAAGTACAAAGATAAGATACATCACAATCCACCCAATGAGGCTCAGAGTGAAGCTTCAAAGCTTCACACATCTTCACCCGAAAGAGGTTCTCTTCGGAACAGGTTTGAGCAACCTTGGCTTGTGACTTGTGACTTGTGCAGCTGAACGATCATTCCGCAAAAAGCTCCAGAAGGAGCTGCCGGAAGCATTGCCCCGTTCTTCACAGCTGGACGAGCTGATTGTGCGACTCTTGCAGGCCTGCTTGATTTGGTAGGTTTTTGGTTGCATGCCCGCATAGGATCACATAGGGCCCAAGTGAGGTTGTCCTTCCAGAACTATTTACGTGGAAGACCACCAAAGCCTGCCCAGCCTGTGCAGGATGAGAAAATGCCATCCTCAAAGCCAAGCAGTGGCCTTGGCGACCTTGAGGCATTTTGAGAGAGAGAGAGTGTGTGTGTGTGTCACCCCCTGTACCAAAGGGTCCAATGCCACCGTTTCCATTACCACCACTTAACAAGGCAGGGGGCCATCCCCCTCCCCAGTGGCGGATGGCCAACGAAGAGGCCACTGGGGGGGGGCTGCAAACGTACCTGCTGAACTGTTGTACAAGCTGTCACTCCACTCTTTCTTTGTTTGTTTCCATGGTGGTTCATGCTACTTCCCCTAAACCCTTTCCCTCGCCGCTCGCGCGCGTCGTCGTCGCACCACTGCAGATGAGAAACTTCAATGTTAAAACACCTTCAAGTCTTTGGACCTTTCACCATGCCGTTCCATCGCCTTCCTTCTCAACGTGGGAACTGAGTGTAACTGAAAACCAATGTCAGAGTGTGTTTCGCTCAGCCGTCCCACTCGGGTGCTGTGAGTGTGATCCCCGTCACTGGGGCGCTGAATTCATGCCGGAAATCGTGTAATCTCACAGGAGTTCACCACTTGATCAACCTTAACTGAGTTTACTGCTTCCAAGGCCGCCGGGCCAAAAAACGGGATACTCTCAGTCTGCCACATCCCGCTAAGTATTCACCAGTCCATGTCACTCTGCTAAGTATTCACAGGCCGGACGAATTAATCGTGCACCCCCTCCCTGCCCCTGGGCCTCCTCTGCTATCCCACCCGCTACTGAGCAACAGAAGGAAATCGCACTCAACACACTTGTGTGTTGGTGCCTTTCCTTCTGTTTCTCCTAGTCTATTGCTAGCTACCCGGGCGGTTTAAGACGAATGTCCCGCTCGCAAACTACTTTCATTTAACTAAGTGGGCCTCGTAACTACACCTATCTTTCTTTCTTGCCCTCTTAGTCTGCTTTTGTTTTGTTGCTTTGTCTGTCTGTCTTTCTTAGGCTTTTTGGGTGACTAATAGTTTTTTGCTGTGCCAACAATTGGCGCTTTCTGTACAAATGTTCCCCGGGGAGTCAGGACGCTACTGGAGGCCCCTGGCCTCACTACTACTTTGCTAGGGGAGACCGTGCCGAGTACGGCTATGTGTGTGTGTCACCCCCTGTACCAAAGGGTCCAATGCCACCGTTTCCATTACCACCACTTAACAAGGCAGGGGGCCATCCCCTCCCCAGTGGCGGATGGCCAACGAAGAGGCCACTGGGGGGGGCTGCAAACGTACCTGCCGAACTGTTGTACAAGCTGTCACTCCACTCTTTCTTTGTTTGTTTCCATGGTGGTTCATGCTACTTCCCCTAAACCCTTTCCCTCGCCGCTCGCGCGCGTCGTCGTCGCACCACTGCAGATGAGAAACTTCAATGTTAAAACACCTTCAAGTCTTTGGACCTTTCACCATGCCGTTCCATCGCCTTCCTTCTCAACGTGGGAACTGAGTGCAACTGAAAACCAATGTCAGAGTGTGTGTCACACTCTGTCTCTAAGAGTTCATTTACCAACCTCGAGTCACAGAGCAGGGGGCTCACGGGTCTGTTCCTGGCGTGAGCCAACGAAGCTCCAGGTTCAGACTAGGATATCGAAAGAGGACGCTCTTTCGACGTACCTGCGGTCAACTGTTGCTCAAGCTTTTCTCCTCTTGGTTTGTTTCCATGATGGTTCTCCACGATACTTCCCACAAACCACTTTCCTGCCGCGCTTGCAGCTTGTCACCGCCGCTTTCTGCAGTCACGCACAAACAATGTTTTCAACTATTCAAATGAGCTGACTTTATCGCCTTGCGTTTCCCTCATCCATTTCACTGTGGGTTTTGACACTGAAAACCCTGTGACTAAGTGTGTGTGTGTGTGCCCCCCTCCGTTTCCAGGAGGTTTGTTGTTTGCACTTTTCCCAAAAAGCAGGGGCGTCAGGCTCGATACACCTACCTGACGCAACGAAGCTCTGGTGTATCGAGGGATGGGTGGACTGATCATCCACCTGCACCTGCTTCGTCACAATACACCAATTTTCCTCGCGGTCTTTTGATTCCATGGTTCTTGCATAATACACCCCAAAACATTCCCCTCCGCCGTTCTGCGGCTGCTGATTCGCGCGAGATTTCGAACCGATGCTCAAAAATCTCAAGTGATGTTGCTAACCTAGCCGCCGTGCGTTTCCCTGATTCCTTTCCTCGGGGGTTATCTTACTGGATGAAACCTTGTCTAAGTGTGTGTCAAATCCGGTGTCCAAGGAATTTGGCAACATTAACTACTTAGCTAAAATGTTCCACCGAATTCTTTGTATAGTTCAGCAGGGGGATGCCCCACACCTGAAGAGAGGGCATCCAACAAAGAGGCTCTTCAGGTTGTGCTGATATCAGCAAGGACGCTTGCTGACGTACCTGCAGATGTTCCTTCACCGAAGTGGTTTAAACAATACTGTTCAGGCTGACTTATTCACCTTTCCGTTCTGCGCTCTACACCGGCATTGTAATCACTAGGGTGGACAATCCAAACTGCGAGCATGGGGCTAATTGTGTTTCGCAGCACCGCCCCACTGCGGTATGCTGTGTGATCCCTACGGGGCCCGTTGAGGTGGACCCTTAAGGGGGCATTGTCAGCGCTTGATCGTTTTTGTTCGACTTTCTCTGACTCAGCTGTTTGTTCGAGATTGCCGGTATGAAGCTGCAGAGCTGTCTGTCAAACCTTTCCAGAATGTCATGCCATGCCGCTAAGTATTCACTTGTCCAGTCCCATGACATGCCGCTAAGTATTCACATGTTTTTTTCCTTCTTTCTCTCCTGCTGCCCCGTTTCTTCTCTAGGTTTTCTCTCGTTGCTAGAGGTTTTTAGGTTCCATGTTAATTTTTAGTCAAGTGCCACGTGCTAAGTATTCACTCATACGTCTCACATTGAGTAGTTCACGCACGGTCTTACTTTTTCTCCTTCTATATAGGATTTTTCCGTTTCTCTCAGGTTTTCGTTCGTTTTCTAGAGGCTTTTTGGGTGTCAGGCTAAATCTTAGTCAAGGGTGCGCTGATTTCGGCTTCATGGCTGGTTTGCGGGCCTCGGCCTTCTACCCCCGCACACCTCTTTCTCTCCTTGATTGTTCCGTTTCTTGAGTTTTCTCTCAGGCTCGTTAGGTGGCTTTTTACGCTCGTTTAGTCGATGCATCAGCGCTCTACACCGGCATTGTAATCACTAGAGTGGACAACCCAAACTGATAGAACTCTTGCAAGCATGGATCTAAGTGTGTGTGTGTGTGTTAGGCACTGTCAGGCTTCCCGTGGTGAGGGCATCCAAATTGGCAAGGTGCTAAATGATTGTGTTGACATGCGTTGACCTAACATGTCCTCTTCACCACAGACTGATGGAGAACATTGCAGAACCTTGTGAAGACTGCAGAGAACTGGAGATCAGCCAATGCCACATCAAACTAGAAGAGTTGGACTGTTGAAGGCTGAGCGCAATGCGCGACGTGTAGTGCGCCAGGGTTGGGTCGGACCTAATTGGTTGGGTTTGCTGGGTTGAATCTTTCTTGGTGCGTTGAAGAGTTCGTGTCGAGTCACCACACACACAATGTCCCCGCCGAGAAGAAGCTGACAATGCTGATTTAGTAATATTTAATATCATTCAGTGGTGGTTCCAAGTTTTGCTCTTTACAGTCCGCCTTGGGCAGGCAACATCTCTAGAAACAGAGATCTCACAGCTGTGGGGAGACAGAACATGCAGTGCATCCGAACGCCTTCAATGTTGAATCAACGTGCAGCCCAAGGGATTCCACGAAATCTGAGGTGACGTTTGGCACCAGCTGTGTGTTGAGATGGTCAGCACCGCGGCACCGGTCGAATGAGCGTCACTTCGCCTAGAAACCTGGAAATCTGCCAGAACTTGGCCTGACTGTGGACCAATAACAAGGAGCCACCCAGAAGCAAGGTGCGAGGATCATTTGCGCACAACGAGGTCGTTCGTGCACGCAGAGGAGGTTGGCGATGGGGATGTGTTTTGCATTTCTTGACTGTTCAAACTGAGATGGGTTCAGGGACCGACTTCCTTAACAAACCTTTGCACGTGCCTTATGGTCAAGAACTTAGAGGAAAAGCACTGCGCAGAGGTATTCGTGATATTCATGTAACTTCGAGGATGGCTGTATGTTTGCTCGAAGCGCCTATTAACTTCTTGAGCACCTGATAAGGCCACGGTGATTGTGCTTCCAAAAGGGATCTCTCTGTCTCTCTCTCTCTCTCTCTCTTTAACTTATATATAGATTTAGATACCCAAGTGATTCAAGTACAAAGGCCCCATATGTCGCCATACACCCATGCAACCAAAACTTACATTCCCCTTGACTCGACTCTTCATATTCTGATCACACTGTTTCTAGAGCAGCCGACCTACTCAAGAAAACAGTGCTGAAATGCAAGAGTTCAATGTTGATGTCAGTCTTCTTGTCGTTGAGTATTTATATTTTCTCTCGTTGCTCCTAGCATTCCTAGCCGATTGCCTTCTATGTCCATCCTCCTTGTACGTGCTCAATGATGGTGGTTCTTGTTCTTCCGGTTTCAGTTTCCGCGTGTACAGACGATCTTTGGCTCGCGTGTACAGACGATCCAGATGCCCCCTGTACAGATGAAGCCTCGGTGCTTTACTGTGGCTGCAGCCGAAGCTGCAAAGCCTGGCTTTCGACTCCTTGAAAGCAGAGCTGAGTTGCTGAAAAAGCTGTTTTGGAGAACACGCCAAGAAGGAGAGAACAACAAAATAGAGACTCAGACTGCTTCTTGTAATGTTTCGCAGGAGGGTTTCTGGCAGCGGTCCAGCAGAAGGCACCATTTGGCCGACCAAGCCATTCCAACACAATCGATTGGCTCAAACTGGCAAGCACTCGAAATCTGAAAGATTCTAGCCTCCGCAGTGATTGCTCGCACCTATACAGCCGTTTTGCATCAGCTAACAGATGTATCTATCATTATCTATCCCTCCTGATGGCCTGCTGATTTTTTTCTGCATTGCAGCTATTTTCGGATATAGTTCAGAGCTGATTCTTTTGCAATGTGTACCGTAGGCGGCTTTAAGCCAACAAGTCACTCCCCCCCTGTGTCACAATGATTCAGTGAACATTGAGGAACCGACACACTGGGTTACGGGCCAGTTACGGATATGTTTTGGCAGGCAATATCAGGCAATGGATTAAGTATGGCTTAGCCGCTTTGTGGCTTTGTGCCATTGCTCAATGCCACTGCCAGCATTTGCTCACATCGTGCGCAATGCAGAGGCTGGATCAGCACCAAGTTGAAAGACAAGGCCAGAGAGTTTCTGCTGCTTTCGATGGACAAGGGGGCGTTGAGTCACAGTAGTTGCTTGATACTTGGTACCATGCCGCTACTCTCTCGCACGGCCTCCCAGCTTCAAGAAGTCGGCACAAGCAATCAAATTGAGTCAAGTCAGCAGTTCTCGAATGTTCTTGGCAAAACTGGCAGTGTTGCTCAGGGTTGAGGCAATGATTTGGCAAGAGCGAGTTGATTGGGTGACTTTATTGAACTGCATCCGCCATGAGCGAGCCAACGCATGAGGCTCATGAGGCTGAGCCTTGCTTGGGACCGGGTCATGGCTACTCCACAAGCGTCAGTATGTGACAGTTGCTGCTGTTCATTCAACTTCTCCGGCCAGGTGTTCAAGAGAAATGCGGCTACTCAGCTTGGGAAGGGCTGTGATTCCTGTCGTTTGGGCATGTGTGATGTTGCACGTGAAAGTGCGCTGGCTTAGTAACACGCTCAGCTTGACATGTCCTGTTGCCTTTTTGCAGCATCGGAAGACATTCTTCAAAGGCTTTGATTATGAAAGCCAGCCAGTAACTAAGCTGAACTTAGTTTCTTCGCAATTAAATAGGAGGTTTGTGGGGGGGACCGTACCAACCATGAACACTTAATCAGGTTGGCTTTAGTAGAGACCTTTTGGGTGAGTTGGTGATGCCGAAAATGCAGGTCATACTTGTTGCGGCATCACGGATTGAATTAGCGGGGGCCCTTCTCGTTGCATCAGAGAATGTGAAGAAGTGAAAACAGCAGTCCGTCCAACATAAGAAATCATCATGTTCATGGACACAAGCGAAGCGTCTCACTGATTGACCACACTTCAATGGGGCGACGATTGCACTGCCGCTTAGGGCAGGGACTCTGCTGAGTGAATTGGCAGATGTGGAGCATTGCCATGCCAACGCACAGTCAATAATTAAATTGTACTCCTAATTGGTTCTGTTACATTGTCCCAGTCAAACTGAACCCTAGTTGACTGGTGCTGTACCCTTAATTGTTTGAAAGCATTTACATGGTACCGAAAGTTGTTTTCTTGGCAATGCAATCTTCTTTCGGGTCAGTCTTTGATGCCCGAAGGTTGGCTTCGGGACGTTCCAACACGAAGGTTCGGGGCATCACATTTCAACAGCAAGTGACCCACCACAGCCGAATTAGTGGTACAAGCAGAACTGGCATGATGGTTTCTAGTGGCTTTCGCTCCCCCCTTCTCAGGTTATCACTCTAGATGTTCAGCACTGAAAAAACAGCTCCAAGGCCAGAGTCCCTTTTCTGGACTTTGCTCCGGACTTCATCGACCCCATCCTGAGCGGTGACAAGAAGGCGACAACTAGATGCCCCGGGCCCAAGGACACGGATCATACCAGTGCACCTGAGCAGCATGATCATGTTCATGTCAATCAGTAATCAATAATGATTGGGCTCTAACAATGACCAATTGCGTTCCTGCTTGGGGTCTTCGGTAGCACTGTGTTCCTGATACCGCCTGCCTTGCATCGTGAATCGAGGATTTGGAGGCCGTTCAGTCCCAAGGCTGGGCCCTGGCCACCTGTGGATCAACTCGGGGTTTCGGGCTTCTGTGCATCAACCAGGTGGAGCAACGACGCTTGTTATTTCTGGTCAGGCTGCCAAGAGGTTCAACACTCGTGAAAAAACCTGTGGGTCATCAGATGCCATTGCTATATATCGCGTTCAATTTGCTTGTGGCAGTTGCGGCAGTTAGTGTATCATGTTAGACTGCTCAGGAAGTGTAACTGCAATCGATGATGCTCTTGCAAAGGAGGAAGGTGCTTGTGCAAAGTTTACGGGCTTGGGCCGGGGAGTGTTCCCATCCTACAAGCGAATGAGTGTTCTCATCCTAGAAGCGAATGAGCGTTCCCATCCTAGAAGCGAACGAGTGTTCCCATCCTAGAAGCGAACGAGTGTTCCCATCCTAGAAGCGAATGAGTGTTCCCATCCTAGAAGCG